TATTATGCTGAAATTAATCATTGTGCAGCTGAAAGGGAACAAAGAATATTCTGTGTACAGAGCGATTAAGGGAGACAGAGGCAATGAAGACAGGAGATTATCAGAGATAAACCAACTTTGCTATTGTTTATAATTGTTCTGCACACATAAAATAGTAGCAAGAGTTTTTCTGGGGCAGTCCCAATAGATATTGATGCAAGAATCATAACCTCTAGGTAGAGTGATTAATAGTATACATCTTTTAAACGAATTCTTAATATCTAATATTATTAAAACACTACAGCTAGCTAATAACAATCTCTGTTACAATAATAAAAACAACAAATATACTCTATAGGTAATTGCACATTATGTCCGACACCATGGAATGTGCAACTATTATCCCAATTTCATTTGTACAGAGAAATTCTCTTTGGGTATATATGTATAAATTGGAATGAGCTCCTATATACAGATATAAAACATAACTAATCACTAAGGATGCCTTTAAAAAGGATACTCTACAAACTGGATGGGTGACCTGGTCAACAACTCATAAGCCTTTAATTCAGTGAAGGAGGAAACGACATAACTGTGGTTTTTCTCTGGAAAAGTAAGAAAGAAAGCATAGAACATAATTTTTTGTTTTCAAATCCATCCCTTCTTCAATTTAATTTCCAATCCTTGTTATCATTTCTAAATAAAAATGCTGGTTGCACATGCTGCTTCACATAAAAAATAAAAGAAGACACAGAAAGAGTTGGGGTTCAGGTGGAAATTCATTTTAGGATTTCTTCGAGCATGAAATTGTATCCAGGGAGATTACTTATGGCAACAAATTTGTAGATAACATAACCTCTGCAGATAATATGGGAGGAACCAGTCACTGCCTAATTAAGGTTGCTATTAAACTGTGTTTCATGGGGGGGAGGATAGCATTTGTGCTGCCACAAATTCTACTTGTCACATGCTGTAGAACCTTCATGAAATAGTTGTACAATAAGCTTCCACTTATGTGCAATGAAGCCATTTTTATTGTGTCTAGGAACATATTTAAAAATAGAATAGAAACCATAGATTAACTTTGAAAGCTGGGACCCGCAAGATATCTAAACTTTAACTCCTAACATTTCCAACCAACGTTATTTTGAAAGTCAAAATCCAGCCTATCAGTTGTTCTAAATTCAGGAAGGAGGTCAGAAAAAATTACCACATTTTTCTGTGTATAAGACGCACCATTGTATAAGACGTTCCGGCATGCGAGTTCCAAGCTAACAGCAAACAAAGTCCCCCAGCGCTCTAAATAGATGCCTCCCGGCAGGCCCCCCCCCCCACCTAACCAGCATCCGGCACGATGAGCATGCATAGTCAGTTCACACCAGCAGCCTTCTGACCCTGGTAAACAAACCGGTGTGAGCACCAGCGTGACAGCAAGGGAAGGGAAGCAAAGGCAGGTTTTAAACTCCCCGCTCTTTCTCCCTGCCAATCAGCTGTTTGGTGGAGTGCTGAACAGCTGAGCCAGCAAATCCGGAAGTTCGGCTGGCCGCTATTATGGAGCAGGATGGCCTCGCAGCTGCATTCCACAGGGTCCCCGGCCAGCATACAGGTACGAGAGAGGGAAAGGGCTGTTGCTGCCATCCATGCTGTTGGTCCCATCTGCTGCCTCTGGACGCCGCCATCCAATGATCTTGCCCCCTCTCCCCTCCTGTTAGTGGCAAGCCCACAGGGGCTTGACACCTGCACCAGGCAGCATGGCAGCGGCATGTAAAGAACCCACACAGGCATGCTCTGGGCTGCGGAGGTTGCCATTATTTTTTCATGTACTTGTATAAGAGGCACCTGATTTTTGAATAGGGTGTTTGCAGGAAAAAATAGTGTCTTATACATGGAAAAATACAGTAGCTCTTTTAAAGGTACTGCAACTTGTGACTAGAATGTAGAATTGGCTCAGTTTTTCCATTGCTAAAATTTGCACCAATTGAATATATATAGGGAATAATTTTTTGAATTCTTTGTCTCAATTTCATTATTATTTATTATCTATTCTTTAAGCATAGAATGGGATAAAGGTCTGCAATTTCATTGGGTTTTCATCAGTTTCATAAATTCTTATTCAGTGTTTGGCCCAAATCAGAGAATGTTTTTGATAAACTTGGGCAAAAGTGATGAAAATATAGATAATGACACAAGGTTACAGATATACAGTTTTCTCCCTGTTAATTCTCAATGAGTCAGTGATGCATAATAAGTCCACAAGCAGGTAAAGCTCCTTGGGTTACATGCTTCTGAAGAAGAAACCACACATGATAAATACCTATTGTGCATCAACAAACCCAAATCTTGTTCCAATTTCTGCCTTGGAATGTGGCCTCACCTGGCCCATAAGATGTTGTATCCTCTAGAAGATGGATGGCAAATGTGGCTTGAGGGCTAGATACACTTTTAGATTATCTCAGCTGGCTTTCAGACTAATTTATAAAGCCGTTATAATTAATTTAGACCCTGTCCTAGATTCTTCATGGAGATTCACATGAAGACACAGATTAGGCTCTATCAGGAAGGTTTTTAAAATTTTGGACCTGGAAAAACTATACGTAAGTAATAAGTATTCGTTCAATTGAATGAATGCTGTATTCAGCTGCTGAATACAGCTGAAAGATGCTGTATTTAATTTTTCATCGTTTAGAAGCAGGGTCATCTTCTGCTCACTTAGACAATCACTGAAACATACAGTTCATCTAGTGGTGCAATAACTTTTCCTTGACTGATACCACCCTGTATCATACTGCTACTAGAAGTAGGGCTCCCCCCCTCCATATATAGGTCCTAAACCACATAGAACAATGTTAAATAATGACATTTACACAGTTAATAGATACATAGTTTTCAGTGCAAATATAAGTGAGGCTTGCTTTAACCATAGAAAAACATTTTCCTTAACAGGAGAAAACAAATCGTTCTTACGTGCTGAAATTTCAAAACTTTCAAATTTGATGGGTTGAATGTAATTCACCAGACTGGACATTTCTTCATAAGCAGTCACTTCCAGACCTGCAGTTCCCTAAACAGAATTTTGAGGGTTACAGAGCAAATTGTGATGCAAACTCCAGTGATGTGCAAAATAAGTATCAGAAAGGACTTAAGCAGAAGTCAGAAGAACAACCAAGGGTGACTGGTGCCTTCCTCTTTGAATATTATATTATATGCTCTGCAGATCTGAGTCTTTCAGAATTGGATTTCCAACTAACTGCATCTATTTACACAGTCTTTTTGGAGCTGTAGTTCCAACCTACCTGGAAAGTCATCAGGTTAGGGAAAGCTGTTCTTGTAAAATTAGGACTAGAATATGCAAAGAGGGATAAGCCCTACTCAAGATTCTGCCTCTTCCTCAAGATTAGGACTAGAATATGCAAAAGAGGGATAAGCCTAGCCCTATTCATGATTCTGCCTCTAGACAGTTAATGAGGATTGATTTTCTCTTGCCCTTTCCTAGCTGATTGGGCAAGGATAGCTGATTACTGACACACCAGAGAGGGCAGAATTTAGCAGCTGTGTGGTAAAACAACAGAGCTAAAGACAATGCATACTTTTCAGACCTCACCAGCTGGTTTTCCCATGGCTGTGTCAGTGTTATGTCTTCCAGACTTCCAAGGAATTTCATTTATTTATTAGTTAAAAAGCTTAGCCAATATTGTCATTATTAAAATAATTCCAAAAGTCATGCTCTGTCAGAATTCAGGAAAGACACAACACATTTGAAGGGCTAATCTTTTATGATAGGACAGCTGACACCAATGGATAAATCTTAGCCATTTCAGAGAACTATTCTGTTACGTTTCTAGAGAGAATCATACAAAGGATGAAGGTGAAAATTAATAACATCATCAACTTTTCAGTAAGAATAGCTGACCAAGATAAAATAATCTCTGCAAAGTATACTAATACTGTAATCACGATATATGATAAAGTATACCAATACATGTAATCATGAGCCTAGCAAAAAGATTAGGGGTGAAATGATAGCAGTGTTCCAATATCTAAGGGGCTGCCACAAAGAAAAGGGTGTCAACCTATTTTCCAAAGCACAGAAGGCAAGATAAGAAACAATGAATGGAAACTAATCAATAAGAGAAGCAACCTAGAACTAAGGAGAAATTTCCTAACAATGAAAACAATTAACCAGTGGAACGGCTTGCCTCCAGAAATTGTGGGTGCTCCATAACTGGAGACTTTTAAGAAGAGTCTGGACAGCCACTTGTCTGGAATGGTATAGGGCAGGGGTAGGCAACCTTGGCTCTTTTATGACTTGTGGACTTCAACTCCCAGAATTCCTGAGCCAGCCATGCTGGCTCAGGAATTCTGAGAGTTGAAGTCCATGAGTCATAAAAGAGCCAATGTTGCCTACCCTGGGTATAGGGTCTCTGTTAGATCGCGCAGGCAGTAAGACACGAGTCGAGTGACAGTCAGCTCTCGGTTTATTGGCAAGGCATCAAGTAAATCCGGACTGGCTCTCTGGGCCAGGGGAGCCCTCTTTTATGGGATTCCCCTGGCTTGTAATCACACAATTCCATTGGCTGGCAAGACCCTGTTGCTAGTTAGCCAACCAGCAACGGGCA